ACACACACACACACGGGAACGTGTCCCTGTATATACATTGTGCATAAGTGAACGCATGCACACGGGTGGGTGTGCACACGCAGGTGAGCAAACACGTGTGGGTGAATGTGGGCGTAAGTGTGAGTGGGCAGGGCCCCTTGTGCCAGCCCATGCACACAGATAACCGCAGGCATGGGGAGGGGGGTGCATGCAGGCATGGGGCTGTGCCCCACAGCCTCATTTAAGACCCCCTTGCCCCTTCGTGCAGGTCCTGCTGCTGCCAGGCAGGACTGTGGGCCCAGGGCATGGTGGCACGGCCAGGCTCTGGGTATGGAGTGCTGGATTGCAGCCATGGGATTGGGGGTCCTGTGGATCCCTGTGTGGGACCCCAGGGGAGCTGCAGGATGGTGGACCCGTCATAGCATAGGTGAAAACAGAACCCACAAAGGTGGGGTAGCCCCTGGCCCTGGAGTCTCTCTACCCATCACTATGATCTCTCCATTTTACGGGTCCTGGCTCTGTCCTGCTGTATCTCACACACTTTGTCCTGAGGGACCAGGAGGTGGGGAAGGATGAGGATACAGTGGATAGTGATGCTTCAGTGAGAGACCCCAGCCCCATGTGGGAGATGGGGAGTCCCAGAACATGGAGGTCCAAACCCCACAGTATGCCCCCTTGTCCTTGCTGCTCATTGGAGCCCAAAGGGCAAAGCCATGCATCGGGCAGGGACAAGGGAGCCCTCCCTGCCTCTGGGCATGGCCCAGCAGAGGGGTGGGTTGTGGTTTGGGAGGCTGCAGGACTCTTGTCCAGGCCTGCCTGGTTGCCAGCACGAGGGCCCAGAGCAGCAGTGGGTAAGATGAGAATGGGGGACCATGGGACATCATGGGGTGGAAAGTGATGCCAGACCCTCTCTCCCTGCCCATGGGGTGTTTGGCAGCACACCCCTACATGTGCGTGCATGTGTGTGCACTCCAGCACACACTCCAGAGCAGCATGTTCTATTCAAACACAGCTCTGGGGAGGGGGGTGGACATCTTCCAGGGATGTTCAAAGCCCCATCCAACCTGTCTTTGAACATTTCCAGGGATGGGCCAGCCACAGCTTCTCTAGGTAACCTGTGTCAGTGCCTCACCACCCTCATGGTAAAGGATTTCCTCTTTCTGTCCAACCAACCCCACCATCGGTCACTTTGACCCTTGTCCTGTCATGACAGGCCCTGGGAAAACTCTCTCTTCCTTTGGAGCCCTCTTAATATATTGAAATGCTGCCCTAAGGTCTCCCCAGAGCTTTCTCATCTCCAGGCTGACCAACCCCAGCTCTCTTAGCCTGTCTCCATAGTAGATAGGTTCCAGCCCTCAGAGCATCTCTGTGG